TCGTAGGTCACTTTTTTCAGTGCCATTGTAACTTTCAGTGGTCACTAAATGAACTGTTGTAAGTCAAGGATTACCTCTATAAAAATACAAAAAGCTTCTTTGCTTTCAAACAGCTGCCCTAAATACTAATCATTAGATTAAAAATACCTGCAAGCTGGAGTTACAAATTAGGCAGGGTGCCAGAGCACCTTTAGGAATGAAAATAGTTAAAATGCAGTGATAACTATCAGCAGCCAACTCTTGCTCATAAAGTGAAACCCTTTAGCAGAGAGATCATTTAAGCTCTCTAGAAAAAGCACACCCAGGAAAACAATCCTTTGATCCATTTGCACCACTTAAAGATACCAGCTGGTCTCACTGACCTTACAAGACCTCCTAAGGAAATCATCCAGATTTAAGGAAAGGTCACATGTCCCCCAGAAAGGCAGGAAAAAAAATCAGTGCCAAGCTTGCATCCTGCCTCTTGGAAGTATACCCCAAAAGGACAGTGCCAGATACCACTAAAGCACTAAATAAAGGAAGACCCCCTCCCCAGATAGAAAAAGAAACCATGAGGCAGGAAAAAATTCAAACACAATACAAATAATTAAATCACAACAGTAGCTGTTGCTTGTTGAAGCTGAATAGGGAAAATTATTCCATCAATAAACACAGGATTAAACCTTTACCAAAAAACAGTTTTAGACCAAAACTTAGAACTTTCACGTTTGAAAGTCAATCTTTCTTGCTAGCCAAGAAGCCTTGCTGAATGTCACTCATCTTGGTTCCCTGTCATTAAAAGCTTCTTTCTGACTGCTCTGCTTCATTATTAATTATTTCTTCAAAGTGCTGATTGCCCAGGGAAGAATTTCCTCACAGCAGCAGTGTAAAAATCTTAAAACAACCCTTCCCCTTTAAGAAAGTCAAGCCTCAGAAGCTCCGGAGAAACAAAGTCTAGGCATATTGGCCAGAATGTAATAAGGGTGGGAAAAAAAAACAAAAGGAGATTGCTTCTAACTGCTTAGAAAGTTAACAATGGGTTCTATAGAACTGGTAGAATCCCACCCGATACAAACTATATATAAATCCTGTCATTTGGAAGACCAACTATTCTATGGAAAAATTCCTAATACCACTTAGAACAACCAAAACTAATGTGACTCATGGATATGAACAATTAGAAGGATGATCTAAAATTCAATCTGTCTCAAGGTTCTTTTTCGTAATCCTACAACCAATTACAATCAAATAGAGTTGGAAGGTACCATGGAGGTCTTTTAGTCCAACACACACACTCAAGCAGGAGACCCTATACCATCTCAGACAAGTGAGTGTCCAGGCTCTTCTTAAAACCTCCAGTGATGAAGCACTCATAACTTCTGCCAGCAATTGGTTAATTGTCCTCACTGTTATGAAGTTTCTCATTAATTCCAGGTTGCTTCTCTCCTTGATTAGTTTCCATCCATTGTTTCTTGCCCTGTCCTCTGGTGTTTTGGAAAATAAGTTGACCCACTCCTCATTGTGGCAGCCCCTCAAATACTGGAATACTACTATCATGTCTCTCCTATTCCTTCTTTTTTCTAGACTGGCCAAACCCAAATCCTGCAATAGTTCTTCATGTTTCAGTCTCCAGTCCTTTAATCATCATATTTGCTCTTTGCACTTTTTCTAAAATCTCAACTTTTTGTAACATAGCATCCAAAACTTCATCCAATATTCCAGGTGTGGTCTTTGTAAGTCTTTATAAAGCAGTACTACTACTTCACACGATTTTGATTCTATGCTTGTTTATACAACCAAGGATTGTATTAGCCTTTTTTTTTAAGCCTGGCTCATATTTAAGTGATTATCCACTAGGACTCCAAGGTCCCACTCACAATTACTGTTTTTAAGCCAGGTTTCAACTAGTCTGGACTTGTACCTTTGGTTTATCCTGCCTAAGTGTAAAACCTTGCTTTTCTCTACATTCTTCTCTTCATAATTTACTTCTCATGCAGCCAGAATAGTATTCACATGTACATGATTTAATTTCTTACCCTCAAGTGTTGATGAAGGAGAAATATAACATCATTCCTTATGTGGAAAGTTTGCATGGTTGTTTGATTTCTGTAGTCAAATCAGGAGGGGATGTTTTACTTCACAGATCTTTCTATCACATCTCATAACCACTTATTCACTGTGTAGACTGGTTTGAAACTAAAATTATTTGCATTTTTTCTGCTGACTTTTCTGAAATTAACAGAAATGTAATGAAGTTTCGTTCATTTGCAGTTGCTGTAGAATATCCAGGTTTGATTTTTACGTTGGTTATGTCAATGAATTTCATATAGCTTGTGTGTGATTATCACTATTACAAGCAGTCCATATTCCTAATCATTTAATCAAGCTTTTAAATACAGCTTTATGTGGGAAAATAACATTTCAATTCATCAGCATGTTATAGTGTTCCCTTTAGCAGCAGTCCCTAACCTTTGCAACTTCGCAGATCAGCAGTGACAACAGGAGACAGGATGGTGTCGCATGCGCGCCCAATACTTGCACAAATAAAGCTTCATGCACACACACACTCACACACCAGTTACGCAGCCCAGTTCCCAATGGGTCACAGACTGGTACCGGGCTGTGGACCAGGGGTTGGGGATCCCTGCTCTATAGGACAAAGAAGTATACTAAACCAGTGTGGGAAAGCAAAATATACAGAAATATATTTGAATGTTGGGGGTACTAAACTCCCTTATTTCAAAGGGCTTACTTCTTAAGAGTTGTTCAGAACACTGGGAGCAGCCACATTTTTTCAGTTTTCCCAGGCTGCTATGTAGATTCTGCTTCAGCCACAAAAAATAGAAAACAGTTTTATAGCTGTTATAGTGAATCTGTAACAGGTGTGCTGTGTTCACCTTCCCACATTCTGCAACACTTTTTCCCCATTAAATCTAAAGCACTGCATAATCCTAGTAGCTGTCATGATATTAAAATTAGCAAAAAGTGAGGGCAAAAGGCATCTAGTGAATTTGAATATGGGGTGAGTGGAGGCACACAAAAGAAAATCTAATTTCATACAGTGCATAACTAAATGATGGCATTCCCTAACACAAAATGGAGAATTGCCAGCTTGGAAGCAAATTAGACAAATTTATCAAGGACAGCCAATCTGTGACTACTTAGTTATACTCTGGCTACAGTGTCTCTGGTAGCAGTCAGTATATGTCTTGATATACTGATAGTTTGACATAACAGTTACTAGAAAATATGATTAGGATTCTCTTGTACCAATTGCTCATAAATATCTGGTTGTCCGCTGTGGGTTCAGAACATGTGACATTGGTCTGATTGGGCATCATCCTTAAAGATGTTATATTTTATTACCAGCTGGAGCGTTTCTTTATATAATTATTGCTGAGCAATTTGATATGCTCTCTACATAGTCATATTTTATTGACTTTACATCGGAAAAAGTAGGTGCACCAAGGAATTCTTGCCTTTAAAATAACAGATTCTATATTGTTGATCTCAGACCTTGAAGCAAAATTCCCACCTGTTTATTTTCACAGTGAGTCATTTGCATTCATTTGTATATACATTTACTGCCTATTTAGATTGCTGCGAAGGTGCTGGAGGAGAGTTGAGAGCTAGGAGGCCATAAGTACAAGCCTATTAGCAGGAACCATAATTGGAGCTGTCAGCAAGCAGAACTGGGATGCCCAGAGCTTAACTAATAAGCAGCAAAAATGCCATGGGGATTAAATCAGTAATAATGCTTCCATGCTGACCATACTCTTCCAAATATTTTACATTGATCATTAATTTGCGTTTATCTTTTCTGCTGCTTTGTAACATCAGGCTACAAAAAAAAAAAACACCATTTCACATATGGAATGTTCAATCAGTGGTCAACCAGTTTTGAGTTGGAAAAATGCTATAAAGATCACAGCTGAGTAATGTTTTGCACCTAACCCTGGGGTGTCAAACTCACATCATCACATGACTTATCGTGACTTTCCCTTCACTAAAATAGGGATGGGTGTGGCCAGCATGTGATGCATCCAGCCCACTGGCTGGGAGTTTGACACCCCTCAAATAACCAGTCCCAGTTCTCATCTTTTTATTTCAAGTAGAAGAATTTAGTAATGTTTTTAAAATTGGTTATGAAGTGGGTCACTATGTTATGTTGGCTAAGATTAAAAAAACAAACAGAAGCAACAACATTCTTATTAGGCTAGCTGAAGGTTTCCAAAATTTTTGCATGCCTTCAAGAACTATTTATCTGACAATATAATTACTATATGGGGCAGGGAGGAGTAGAAAGGTTAAAGCACGGATGTCAAACTTGCAGCATCATGTTATGTTTCATGATGTTTCCCCATTCGTGGAACTGGGATGGGCGTGGCCTACACATGACATGCTAGTGATGGTTTCTGAGCAGTGTTTCCAAGAACAGGTGCATGGTAAACAGTCCTACTGCCTTTCCAAAATACACCAGAACATTTCATTGTTGAAAACAATTTGGCTGATTTTCTACCTAAAGGATAATACAAGGATTGCTATTTTGTTTTTTCGATTGTTTCAACAAAAGCCAAAATTAGATTTAGGAGGAGAAAAAGATGGATAAAATATCCAGATCCAGCAATGGGAGAAAAAAAAGTCAATCCATTTGTAATATATCCCAGAGTTCAAACATGAAATCCTGGCTTATCTACCATTTACTGGCCCTTTTCATGAAAAACAAAAGCGTGAGGAGGACGAAAGACTACTACGAGCAAAAATAAAACAACTCTCAGCAATATAGCACTATTAATAATTGTGCTTTCAGTGCAGGCAAGCCAGTCTTATGAGGTAGACATTGGATTTTTGTTGTGTCAATAAGTTTATTAGCCATAGATTTGATTCTGAGGTGATTGTGATCTAAGAGGTACAAATCTGTTTGTTACACAATATTTGTAGATGACAGGATTTTTAATCATTTATTGACTTTCTGGCAGCCAGAACATTGCCTTCAATTTCAAGACAGGGCATATATTTTAGGGTGTGTATTGCTCTTGTGAAAGGAATAGATGTACATTGTTACATGTTATGCACACACATGCCTATTTTGTCTCGAATTGTAGTAGAAAGCTCTAATTTGTGATCAGTTCCTTTTCACGTCCACAATTCATTGCATGAAGCTACCATTGCATGCAAGAAACACACAGTTGAAGTCGCATAAGCTCACAGAATGTTGCAGTCTGGGAAAAGACAAAAAGAATGGTATATTTCAGTCATTTAAATACTCTCCCCTTGAAGCAAAGGGATCTTTCAAATTCCATTCTTCAGATGGACTCTGAATTAAATACTTCCCATAGGTAACTACAACAATTCATCATAGCTTGCTGGTCGATCTTTAAAGCAAATCTGATCTATAAAAATCAGCTACATTTTTATTCCCTTTGTGTTCATCCTTATTATATTGCATCTGTTTAAAAGAAAGAAGAAAAGAGGCCTGGTCAGGGAAACAAAGATCCATTTTTTCAAGCAGGACCAAGTAAAATTCTCCTGCAATTTGTCCAATTGTTTATTAATAGCAAAATCAAATAAGAATCAAATATTTGGTGGCTTCATCAAACATGGATACCTTTATAACAGCATCTTAATGACTGCATTTCTGGACAGCTATTAACATTTCCTTCACAATTAAATGAGGATTTTGTTGCCCTTTATTCAGTACAATCCTTTAAAAAGACTGAATGATGCTGCCATCTACTGGAAAGTTCTACTGCAAATTTATTATTCAAAGATTAAAAAGACATGAGTACATTCTTTTATATCATATTACATATGTATTTAAATAAGATATGTATGTACGTATGTGTGTGTGTGTATGTGTGTGTGTGTGTGTGTGTGTGTATGTATGAGAATCTCAAAAAAAAAACCAGGACTGATCCTAAAATCTAATTGAAAGTGATGTTCAAAGCAAAGTGAAGAGATTCATTTTCAGGTGAAATATTGGAGGAGTGTCAAAAAGAGACTAAAGACTTCGGTGCTTTGAGGTGAAATTGGAGATTCCTTTTCAAGCAAAATGCCTGTTTGAACTCTGAAGGTAGCAATAAATGTTTATAGTTCAATCCCTTGTATGTCTACTCTAAAGTAAGTCCCATAGAATTCAATAGGACTGCTCACCGGCCATCACAGTTAGATTTGATGACTATTGACAACACTCTGAGGGATTTGAGACATCACTATCTGGAACAAGGAGTGAAATTTACACTGGAAATAAATGCAAACTTCATCTGTGAAAAGAATGTGTCCTTCACACACATGGTGAACTTCTTAGCTTCCATAATATACCCTTGTTGATTTCATCAAGAACATTTATAGAGTAAACATAGCAGGCAAAATCAGTTTTCCTTCTTTTCCTTTAACTGAGCTGCTTAACTGAATAAAGCTCACATTTCTGTGTCAATTGGGAATTGATTCTGAATGAATCAGCCAACATGCCCACTGTCGGCATATTTTCATGATAATTTAGAAATCTCTATGGGGACTGATAACACAAAGGACATATTCTTATATCTCCTGTGTCTTTTTAGAGAAGAAAGAAGGGAGGGGGTGTGAATACAATGGGTTTCAGACATGACAGTAACCATCAGGCTTGACTGAAGTAAACATGATGGGGCTAATATTGTTTGCCATATAATCTTCTCCTTCTCCTCCTCTTAAATATATCATTATGATCATTAGATGGCTATATGAATAATTAAATTATAATGCCTTAAAAAATACTATACTGAAATGGCAGTTATTCCCAAGACATATGGCTATTGTTGTTAGCTCCTGTGGACCACTGAATCCAAAGGCTAAAATTGCCTATGCAAGAGTAAACCTTTATGTAAAATACGTGTTCAGTCAAAGATGTAGCACTTTACCAAAATCAGTTCCTTCTATCTTGCATGGAAATAACTAACTCTTCATTATATACTCAGCCTATAATGTACACTTGCTCAACGTATAATTTACATGAATTAAAATATATAACGTTAACTATTTAACTATAAAAGCAACAAAAATGTTCTCCACATATTTGCTGAATTAGGGGAAGCATACAGTAAACAGGCCTGACTTATGGAATGCTTTACATGAATATGCAAATAAAGACTGGTAGTTCTGCTGCTGCTGCTGCTGCTGCAGCTGCAGGTTAGCATACATGAGAATAAACAGCATGCTTAGCAAATGGCCAACTTTCAGCAAGGAGTAGGACAAGACTGTTTCATGTCCTCTTGGTTTTTAATGAATTTATAGATAAATATATAAGAGATATTTATGTATTTATTGTTGTATATGTGATGGCTGAGGATATAAAAAGTGGCTGTAGTCAGGGATGGGATTCAAAGTTTTTGACAACCAGTTCTTTGGGTGTGGCATAGTTGGTGGGCATGGCTTGGCGGTCATGTTATTGGCTGGGTGTGGCCAACTCAATATTCACATAGAGGCACGCATCTCCTCGCCTGGCCTCTCATGACTGTGGGGATGCTGCAACAGTCATAAGTGTGAAAAATGGTCATAAGTCACTTTTTTCAGTGCAATTGTAACTTTGAATGGTCACTCCACACAAGCAAAGTAACAGAAAGGAGGGGAAAAAAACTCCAGAGACATTCCTGAGACAGGAAGTCTAGTCCTGCCAAGAATGTAATAAGGGTTAACAGTTTCTGTAAGCAACAACAGAATGTTTCCTTCCTGCCTTCCTTACAGGATTAGGCCAATAATTCTTCTAACAACTGGTTCTCCAAACTGCTTAGAATATTAACAACTGATTCTAGCGAATAGGTGAGAACTGGTAGAATCCCACCCTTGTGTGTAGTTCTGCATGCAATTTTTTTTGTAACTGGCTGATATACAGAGAGAGTATAACTGACGACTACAGTAAATTGCCAAACAAATATAAGAAAACTGATGTGCTGTCAAGAGGAAGGGAAGACTATGGAAACTATGGGTGGATGGAGTTGATGAGATCCTCAAAAAGAAAGAGAGGAGGAGTTTAATTAAAAAGCTGTTAGGGATACAAAGATGATTTATAAGGATTGAAAGGAATGTAGAAGTATCATGGCTGATAGTTGCATGGTTATATCTATATTTCTTATTGTTCTAATATATTTGTCTTACTAATTCATACTTTTCTGCTCTGTGCATAAAGTTGCTTACCCCAAAAGGCAAATGGATGGATGATCTTACATAAAAAGCCACACTGTATTTTAAAATTTCCATCAGCTGTATATATTCTTTTAAATAAGATTACTAGAAAATTAATACATTAACTAGAAGTAATTGACAAGGAATGGTAAAAGCAGCAAAGCAGCCATCCTGTTCAAAAGTTAAACAAGAATGATGTACATCTATTTAAAAGAAGAAATATTGATTGATTTGCATGCCACTACAAAGGGTAAGAATGACCCATAATAAGATCAACTAATAGGCCAACTCCATCATGCTTACTCTTTAGGTTTTCTGCATTGTTTTGTCTTCCTGCTGAAAATCAGTAGGAAATAGTTCTGAAGTTAACCATCAAATTTCTAACTATGACCTTGGGGATTCAGAGGTGGTTGAGGGCTAAGCTGCAACAGCCCATAAATTGTGCATTGGCCATCCTTATCTTAAGAATGTGAGGGGCACAATGGTTCAGCAGTTAAAGATGCTGAGCTTATCAAGCTGGAAAGTTGACAGGGCAGGTTTGAGACCCGAATGCCATGGGATGGGGCATTACTCGCCCCATTACTCGCCCCAGCACCTGCTTCTGCCAACCTAGCAGTTCAAAAGCAAACAAATGTGAATAGATTTGTTGGGGGGGAAAGTAACACCATTCCATGCACCCTAGCATATAATCATGCTGGCCACATGATGGACATGTCTTTGGATAAGGCTGGCTCCCTTGGCTAAGAAACGGAGATGAGCACCCTCTTAGAAGGCCGTTTCTGTGTCCTCATCCTTTGAATGGTGTGGGAGTAGTAATGGATTTCCAGAGAAAAAAATGCAGACTACAGGAACCAGGAGCATTACTCAGGTGACCCAGAGGACACAGATAAATCTCCAAGTGCTTCAACAACCCTCTAAAAGGACGCAAATGACCAACTGTCTGCAAAGAATATAAATCCTTCCATTTCTCACTATCTTGTCACAGCTGAAGAAATTTCTTGGATGAGAAGTGAAACGTCTTCAAAGAAAAAAACAAAAAGCCCAGCTGCCTCTTGAAAAAGCATCTTTGGGAATATCAAATGGAACATGCATGATTGACTGATAAGCAAAACCATGAGCAGTGGTTGAAAATTAAAATCCATGGTTTCTCTGATGGCCAGTAATGATATAATATAGTAAGGAATTGTATTATTTATCTAGTAGCTAATGTCTTTCAAGTCTGAAATAATACCAATTTAGGGTATACAGTAACCTCTGTTATTTCTCCTGACTCAACATGTTCTATCCTATACTTTTAAATTAACCTTTCTCAGTATTACATTCCCTTTTTTAGCCTTATTTTCTCACCATCATCAATAGAGAGACATTTTTGCCAAAATCTACAAGGCATAATGATCTGGTTGTTTGTTGTAGCTTTGGTCAGGATTGGTGTGGCAAAACAGCAACAAACGATTCTCTGCCACACAGAACCATTAAGGTACTGTTGGAATGGCTTCTCTGGTTTTCAAAAATCCATTGCCTCAAAAAGATGGTAGGAAAAAAATTACAATTTAAACCTTGCCAAGTATCTAGGGCTTCATTTCCATGTTTGGAAATAAGAAGATTTTCTATATGTCTTCTTTCTTGTCTTCAATAAAACAGCTTAAGTCATTTCTCAAGTATGTGAAGTAGAGTTGAGTTTTTAGAGAGTTGATATTACCTACACTGCCTGGTGTGACCTCTCTAGCAGATCTTCCAGATGACACAGGAGAAATATGCTTACAAAAATGTATTCACTTTTGCACTGTGATAAGATTGTGAACAAAATGTGAGCAACATTTCAATATATGAATCATACAGAAGGCTAAGCTTTAATAATATTCTACTTTCCCTGTGGAAGAAACTATTGCTTCATCACAATGTGTGTGTGTGATTGTGTGTGTGTGTGTTTGTGTGTGTGTAGGAAAGGGGAATGACCCTCAAAATAAACAATATAGAATGCATTTCCATATGCTGTACTATTACAGAGCATAAATGGCCTTAAAAAAGAAACTTAATACGTAATAAGAAAAATTGGCAGAAAAATTTGAGCATAGATGAGAATCTCAAAAAGTAATGCTTGGGTTGGCTAATATAAATTTGGTTGGTGAAACAAATTTGGAAAACAAGAATTATATTGGAACAAGTAATCCTTACTGTGTATGTGTGTATGTGTATTTCAATTCATAAGTAGAATCTGAAACCTAAACAGAAACTTCAAACTGAGCAGCAGCACCAATATATTTTATGATGTAAGACAGACAACCAACTATAAAGAAAACTGCTTCTTTTATTTTTTGTACTTCTTCTTTTTAATAAAAGTAATCATTAATGCATGAATGGTGTAATGTGTAGCCTGCTCCCAGTTCTCTGTAATACCATTCTCTGCATCTCATATGGATGTACAAGGCAAAATAATAATTAAAAGAGAAGCTCTCATCATGCCTATGGCAGTGCATCTAAATTGTGCAGAGTACTACATAGAAAATGACACAATCAAAAAAGAGTGGAGATCTTTAAACGGCTGTACAAAATTAAAAATATGATGATGACTGAATTAGGAGAAGCAAGGAAATACCTCACATCTCTCCTAGCAATTGGCTGAGTTTTCCATTCCTGTCCATGACACATGTGGAGAAATATATATACAAAGAATTAAAATAGAATCAACGAGAAACATAATTAATTACACATAGGAAAGCAGCTAATGAAACTAATCAAAGTACACAGCATGTTAATGAAAGTTAGCAGCTGGGACCAAATTATTGCATTAGGCATAGCCAGAGAGCAACTGAAAATACATTCTATCCAGAGCTAATAGCTTATGGCATTGTTCTATATACAGTTACGAAGGAATCACTGAGGCAAAGCTCTAGCAGTCCTGCCTGCAATAAGTATAGTTAACATATTTAATTGCACTCATGCTACTTGGCTGCATTAACAACCAATGAATTTTTCCACAATTATTTTTATATGGCATTGAATAATTTAATTTTAAAGCTAAATACAGAGGTAATTGTAATGCATGCTTGAAATATTTGCTGCTTAAAAGTCAACATGTGCTAACAATTAGCACAAGGGGCTACAGCTATGTTTTCTTCATTTCAAAATGCTGAAATACTTGAATTTATGTATTGTATTTAATCATCTGTTCCTTTTTTCAGAGTTTTGTCCAAATCAGCATTAGAAGAAACACAAAAGGTTAGTTAGAAGTTGATTCATTTTTAAAAAATCTGAAACATTTAAATGACATATCAAAATGAGGTTTATGCTCATTTTCCATATTTTTCCTTACCTTCTTAGCCATCATACTCAGCAATAGGCACTGCAGTGCTCGAACTGCCAATGACTGGTAATGAATACAATAGTTTTACATGAGGTTCCTTCACGGCTTTAAGTTTTGCCTTGGATTGTTCAAATCTCTCCTTCGCCATTACATGTGTCACATATTTCCTAAATATTTTCTCGTCTATATTTTGTCTTTGTAACATCTGTCGCCTGGGAGGGAGGAATGGAAAAGAATTCATAATTTTCACCAGTTCTATCTAACTCAAATATTGAAAACTCTCCCTTCTATTGCTGTCTTTACTGGGCTTAGAGTGGTGCGGTGGTCTAAAGTGAAGACGCTCGCCTCTCACTCAGAAAGTTGAGAGTGTCAGGAATCTGGCAGTTACCCCAATTAAATTATAAAATATTTAGATTGTCTTTTTAGAGTTGCCAGAGAGAGTTTAATCCTAGACAGTGGCAAATATTTCTCTATTATGGTGAAAAGAATAATATCTACCACAAACTCTGTGTAGGTGTCAGGAAGGGCATCTGGCCAGCCCAGCAAGACCCCAAATTTATGTTATAAATTATCATTCTCATTATAGAACAGTTCTAAAATATATGTAACTATAAACAACAAAGATTATTCATCAGGATACTAATACAATAATTAATAAAATACACTGTGATACTCAATATCCCCAGTCAGAAACAATAAACATTATACCTTGATATATTATTAAAATTATCTAATAAATATAATTATAGATGTATAATGAATGGGTACTGTACTATTAAGTACGTTTTCTAAGAATTCTTTAGAAATGCAATTTTTCCTACTTACACACTATCCCATGTAGCAAATGAGATAGCAATAAATTGTTTAAAAATAGCTCTCTTTACTCGGGACAGTTTTAGAAGGGTAGGGCATGCATCCTGGGCAATGGCACAATTACCCTGTCACCCAATGCTCCTGAGTATCTGCTGCATTCAGGTATTTTTCTCCTGCTGTTGAGAGGCCCACATGGCCTGTCCAATGCTTCAGAAAACTTCCAAAGCCCTGCTAGTTCAAGCTCCAAGATGGCTTGATGTGACTAGGTCCTGCATTGGATAGACTGTACAGGACTTTCAACAGCAGGAGAAAAATGCCTGATGGTACAGTAAGTGGTGTGTGGCAGATCCTTGAGAATACTCAACAACAGGGACAATTGTGCCCTTACCCAAAATGTGTATGTCTTGGAGAACAGCATGAAGCAGAATTCCTCAATGGTAGCAGTGGCACAAGAACAACTGGGACACAGCAGTTGTCTGAGACTGCCGAGGGACCCAGTGTCTACTTCTGCCTTGGCCTAGAGTTATGGTTGAGTGCTTCTGTGCAGGGTGGCCTAGTTGTCGGAGAAGAGATGGGCAGATAGGAGAGGCTGCAGTGCATCTATAGACCTAAGAATAGCCAAGCTGCCAAGAGGAATAGGATAACTTACAGCAGCCAACTTGCTGAGGCCAACTTACCATGGCCAAGTCACCATGGGATAAACTCGCCATAGCCATCTCACCCCAGGACAACTCACTGCAGGATAATTTAACAATTCAATTTAATTATTTAAAATAAATAAAATAAATATTTAAATAAAATAAATAAATAAATAAAAATTGTAATTCACATTTCACTCTGTCTCTCCTTTTGCATCCTTTCTTTAATGATTCTCTGCCACCATTTCTTCAATGTTAGCGTAATTCTTGTCTTGCAGTGAGTTGTCCCACAGCGAGTTGTCCATGGCAAGTTGGCTGTGGTAGGTTGGCCATGGTGAGTTGGCTGTGGCAAATTGTCACAGACCCCTGCCAAGCACCCTAATTTTTACCTCATGACCGTGAAGGTGCTGCAATGTTCATAATTATGAGCATGGCTTGTAATTCCCTTCATTTAACACTGTAATAATTTCCCAATAGTCACTGAACTAATGGCCAGGGTCCACCAGTATTGCAGGTTCCATTTCTGGCTTTGCTACAAGTGTTTATATACTTGTTTACTATTTCTTTTCTGTTATAACCTTTGCCCCATAAATACCCTCTCCCTAATTTACAACAAGTCTCTACCCTTTTATCCTATTGGAGTGCACTTAAAACCAGGCTTTCTCCAGCCATTGGGATAAGGTGATGCCAGGGTGGGATGAGAATGTGGATTCATTAAAGAAGTGCGGCTATGCACCAGGTTTTTTCAGGTTTTATTGCTGTTGATTTTCTACTATTTTTCCATGATTTTATTGGTTGTATATTATCTACAGTTGCTTTGAGGTGGGAGGCTATAAAAATATGGCAAATAAATAAATATCATTAGATTTATAGGTTGCTTTTATTTTATACAACTCTAGGCAGTGTTAAATATACTTAATATTTTAGAATGTATGGTTGGGCTATTTTGGTAGCATTTTATGTATTGTTTATACTTGCATTTGAAATATTCAGAATGCCCTTATAGAAACAATAAAAAATAATCAATCAGGGGATATACAATGTTATATCATTTTACATGTGGGATATATTATATTTCATCCAAAAGGAAGGTGTTCTGGCTTTCATTCTTCCACTTAATTTTTCCATAATATTCCCTCTTTCTTCATGAGCCACAGTCCCTCCATTCAAGCAGGTCAGCAGAAAGCATTTTCAAAGACTTCTGCAGACTAGTTAAGAAGGGAGATGATAATCTGAATCCAACCCATATCAGTCAAAATTGAAAATTAATGTCTTGTTCCTCTTATTCCAATTGCTTTCCCTTTTTTAAAAAAAAAAAAGCAAACTATGTAATTAACTTTGTAAAAACTAATAATTTTCAGTTAATTAAATTCACTTTTACAGTCTTTGCTAGATTTTTATGCATCAAGTGTTTCATTAACTTCTTTCAGTAAAAGCAACAATAAATGTTGGCTAGACATTAATTTAATTAATTTCCTACAAAACACAACTAACAAATAAAGACTTTTAACTAACATACATTTTTTTCTGCTGTATCGAATAACTCAATGCAGAGGATAATAGAGAAAAAAAGAATGACAGTTCATATTACATTTTAGCAGAAAATTATTCACTGACTTAATCAAGCCAAAAAAAATCTGCTCAAAAACAACAGAGTTGCCCACATGTCTCTAATGTCATAATTTTAAAACAGTAAAATTGTTCATGTGTAAATGGGCTTAATTTCATATTCAAAATCTGTTTGTTATTGGGTTTTTTGATAAACGGAAATTTAAGTAATTCTGAGGCCAGGGTTTCAGTTTGTATTTGGGTAATCCTTTGACACCTCCTTTGACAAGCAAGGAACTAAGCGAAAATATTAAAAAAAATGAAATCTAAAAATAAAAATTGAAATCTAAAAATCTAAAAATAACTTCTAAAAATAAACTGCTCCCTTTATTCTTGTTTCTTGGTTTTATAGGTTATTCATGTTTTGTTTACTTATTTTTTTATTTATAGCTGCCCCAGATATTTTTGGCTAAAATGCATGATTTACCAAGCACTAACTCTGTTATATTATAGACTTGTCCTATCTTCCATGAATAATGTATTTTTATACAATTTTTAAAATTAATACACCATTCATAAAAAGAAAACTCATTCTCTTCCCTCTCCCCGCACACAAAGACAAAGAAATAACCAGCTGAATTGTAGGTTCCAATAGCAGCTTAAATGTTAATATTTTTATTAATCATGCTTAGGGATCTAATTTTTAAATAAATCATTTTAAATAAAATATGAATGGTTTGTAGTCCTCTACAAATATTTTATTCTATAAGGATAATCCACTTTCTTACCTAGCTTTCAAAGCAAACATAATTAGAGCTTCCTGATAAAATTAAGTACCAAGCAATATTTTGCATCAGTAACTTTATTTTCATAAGAAAGTATATCAAACCCATGAAATATACCAATAAGACACAATGCTGGGTGAATAGTTAATTACTATATTTAGCATCATGGTTTAACTAATTTAATTACTTCATTACTAAATAGTTACCTACAATAAGCATTTAAAAGGAAAATGGAATTACAATTAAAAACAGAACAACAGTTTCCTCAATCTCCATCCAAAAGCATGTTAAGTTGAAAGATGGGCCTTTGTACACCTTACCTTTGCTTTCCTACATGAAACTGAAGATTGTTTATTGAACTGAATAGAAAACAATAATAGTGGTATACATAAAATACTGTTGCTAAGGTTAACTCCTTCTGTCCTAAGGTATTGTTGAGAGCCGTTTGCCTAAGAGGATAAAAATTACTCAAAAAACATTTTAAGTATAAGCTCTATGGATATCTAGGGCCTTTCCCAAAGTTGCAGTACTAACTACTCATCCTTGCTATTCCTATCAGCACTCTCCAACCTGCCTTTGTAACCAATCATTGTCAATCACCTAACCTTTCTCGGTCAAAATAAGCCCAGTAGATTTTACAGACTTTGGACTCCTTTGGGTAGTGTCAGAATCTCTGTTGCTACATCCTCTAACCCCCATTCCTTTAACCTCAAACTATCCACTATTGACCTCACCCCATTCCTGTAAGGAGTGTGCATAAGTGCACCATCGTGCCTACCCTCCCTGTCCTATTGTCCCCATTTATTCGTACCTATTACCTGTATTCTTACTCATGTTTATATGTTACCTATTATCTTGTAAGCCACTGACAAATAAAATAAATAAAATAAGAATAAAATAAATAAATAAATAAAATACTCATAACTTAAGTCCATTTCACTCATAAGCTAAGAACAAGATGATGGCAACATCAGTGGGAAGTAGTAGAAAAACAAATGTTTTCAGTCATGTTTTTTGCTGTCCATGGCAGTAAAGAAAAGGGGAAGGGAGTGACAAAACATGCTTTGGGATGCAAACTTTGGCTTTTAGATACATGCATGAGATGTCCCAATGCATATGTAAAAATGTAGAGAGCTTTTATTGTGAC